AAGGTCCCAATCATCTGGCTTCTCTTCTGCTGTTGGTGCATTTTGAATTATGCTTGGTAGTCTATTTATACCAAATATTAGGGCCCTTAAGTTTCTTTTTTGCCTCTTTTCTTCTTTTTGGCTGCAGACAGGCTTTCTTTTTCTCTAGGTCAAGGACCAGATGTGGCAGCTCTTGCTTCTGTGACCCATTACTTCCCAGAAGACCTGGAAGCTTTATTATATTGAGCAGATTGATAAGTTAGGAAGGAATATAAGGTATTGAAAATGTCTTGGCATTGGCACAGAAGGCTTGTGGTTATTTCTTTCCAGCTTTAGGAAGTTAAGCATAGGTTTTTAGCATCTGAAAGGCCTGGGTTTGAATCTAGACTGTACAGAGTTGCTTTATGTCTTTAAGTTCAAGTTACTGAATTTTTCTGAGCTTTAGTTTTTTCATCTGTAAAAAGAGTTAATAAACCCACCCTGTAGGAGTGTTCTGAGGATTGAACTGGAAAATATATGTAAAGTGCCTAGTACCCCAAGAATTCAATAGGAACTTAGTAAAAAACTCCATTATTACCATCTCATCCTGGTTATGTTGAACTCCATTTTCCTGAAACACACCAAGCTGATTCTTACCTCTGCCTTCTTAGAGAGTCTCTGGGTGGTACAAATGGCCAAATGGCCAGTGTGCTCAGCTGCTAACTAAAAGATTAGAAGTTTTTCACCCAGAGGCATGTCAGAAGAAAGGCCTGGGCAATCTCCTTCTGAAAAAAAAGCCAGCCACTGACAGCCCTGTGTAGCACAGGTCTGATACCCAAGGGGTCTCCGTGAGTCAGAATTGACAGCATTGAATTTGTTGTTTTCTCTTTTTTGAATACCTTTCTGAATACTTGCTGTTCTATCCTTTCTCCTTCTCTCTATATCTTCTCATTTTATATAGAAAGTTTCTAATTCCGTAGGATTCTTACTATCATTTTGTGAAATCTTTGACACTTTCCACTATCCAAGGCAGTCCTTTCTCTCCTGGTGCTACTGTCCCTCACCAGTACATTTTTTTTTCTTATGGCACCTCATACACGGCACTGTCATTTCTGAGACGTTTCTCCCAGTAGATTAGGAGCTCCCTGAGCGTTTTTGTCTTCGTTACTTAGCATAATACCTTGTACTTCTAGTTGTTTCATAAGTATTTATGGAACAAAAATGCTGTTAATTGGTGCCCCAGACTAATAACAGGAATTTCATTAAAACCTAGCAAATCTTATCATTGGTGTTCTTTATAGTTGAACGCATGCGGAATGGGATTGATATCCTAGTTGGGACTCCGGGTCGAATCAAAGACCACCTACAGAATGGAAAGCTAGACCTCAGCAAACTTAAGCATGTTGTCCTGGATGAAGTTGACCAGATGTTGGATATGGGTTTTGCTGATCAAGTGGAAGAGATTTTAAGTGTGGCATACAAGAAAGGTAAACAACCAATGCAAGGATCAGGGGAAGAATGGTCTTCTCACAGTTAAATGAAGCATTAGGCAATTGAAGGGGAAACTTGAATTTAAAAAAAATCATGATTATCTCTTATCTCCGATGTGGAAAAATTGAGAAAATACAAGGAAGAACTCCTTATTTTACCAGCTTAATGTCCTTTGCTTTTAGTATATTTCTTTCCAACTCTGTATTAATTATAATCTTACTGGACATTACAAAGGTAAGAGTCCATGAAGTGGTCGTGCCATGATTTGGTTCAACTATACACCTGTTGTCTGTCTGGTTTTTAGTCTATAAATTATTCTGCCTATAGACATTTTTATACAGATAGCTTCTCTCACACCTCGATTAATATTTAGTAATTCTAAATTCTTCAGGAGAGAGTTCCAGAAGTGGAGTTGCTAAATTAAAAGGTATAAATAAATAGTTCATGCCCCTCGATGTGCATTGTCAAATTGCTCCCCAAAAGGATTCTGGCATCTTACCCTGCTATTTGAAATATGAGAATGCGGTGGCACTCTATAGTGAATTAAATGAGTAGGGGGAGTTTTGGGTAGCTGACCTCAAAGAATGAATAGACTGTAATTCTAAGCTCACAAAACATTGAGGAAGTGCTAAAGACTGTAGAACCTATTCTGGTGTTTATTATAGGCTCTCAGCTGGGTGATATATATTGGTTGGTCATGGGGTGGATAAACTGATGTTTTCCAGGTACACAGATTTCCCTTGTAGTTCATAAAGGCCAGTGGTCAGAAAACAAACTTAAAATACTTTTGGAATTGTAGGAACCTTTTACAGAAATAATTTCACCAGTATTTCTTCTGTATGCCCAATGGGAAAACTCCTTCATTTTTGAGTCCTCAGTGTCTGGCACAGCTGGGACTCAAGCAGCCGCTGTTGGATGTTGATGGACCTGGTGGGACTGGGTGAGGAAATAATACTGTGTAGGCTTATTTGGGTTATTCATACTGACTTTTTTTTCCCCCTCAAAGATTCAGAAGACAACCCCCAAACATTGCTTTTTTCTGCAACTTGCCCTCATTGGGTATTTAATGTTGCTAAGAAATACATGAGATCTACATATGAGCAGGTGGACCTGATTGGTAAAAAGACTCAGAAAACTGCAATAACTGTGGAGGTAAATGATTCATTTAGTTGCCGGAATTAGTAAGAAATTGTTCATCATCTTTTCCTGTCTGATAGTACCAAGACTGGCAAATACAAACTTTTCTAGATAAATATAAAATCCAAGGAATGATATATACCTCAGTTGTTTTTAATATCTGTGTTTTCTAAATTCATTAACTAGTAGCCTAATTTCAAGCATCTTGGAATCTAAATCTGTCTGAACTATGTTAATGGAAGGATGTTACACTTAAATTTAAACACTAGAGGGCAACAGAGTAATTTAGTGCTTGATGGTGAAATTGTTTTCATTTTAGGGTCCGGTACCTACATGAATTTATTTCACCTGAGGAATAGATCTGTAGTATCTGACTATTGGTTGCATCAGTTATGTAGTTTCCTTAGGAATCTAGGGAACTGTATTTCTTTTTCTACATTTCCCTGGTTATGTCAGAAAATACATAAACCAAATGCTCTCTGGAGGAAAAGGGGAGGTACAGAGGGACAAACCATGTTGCTCCTTGCTTTAATGGCTTAATTTTTTTTTTCTTTTTCTCTAAACAGTTGTAGCAGGAGTCTGCTATAGTTGCTATAGTACCAAAGATCACTAGTTTTGACTGGATGATAGCAGGATCCAGAAAGCCTTCAATAGATAGTTTTTTTTTTTTTTTTTTGTCTTAAAAGCATCTGGCTATCAAGTGCCACTGGACTCACAGGGCAGCAGTCATTGGGGACGTGATCCGGGTGTATAGTGGTTATCACGGGCGAACGATCGTCTTCTGTGAGACCAAGAAGGAAGCCCAGGAGCTGTCACAGAACGCATCCATAAAGCAGGTTGGTTCTTCTTCTCGTGCCCACAAAACTGAGCCATCAATAAATTGTCACCTTGGACATACCTGCCCTCAGGTGGTTCTTTAATCATTCAGTGACTTCCAGTTTATTTTAGATTGGAAATGGGGGGAAGCTCTTTCAATTAATGATCAGAATAGACAAGTTAGAGCTCATTTGATGAGCCTCATCTTGTCAAAGAGGAAAGGGTAGCTCAAACCCAGGTTACAATGACAAAGCAGATTTGATCCCTGTATTTTCTGTTCTACATTGGTGTGTCTAGTTGGATACTGTTGATAATTCAGGAAGTGAGGATTTAGAAATAGGTTTGAGGCTTATTCATTTTAGGCACATGTTTTTCCCTTTATAAAATTTCCAGTGAGACTATCACCAAAATGTGAATATCTTTTATTGGCCTAATTGGCAATTACCTGTATTGTTGGCTGGTATTCTTATGCTTGGTTATTTCTTTGGCAGGATGCCCAGTCATTACATGGAGACATTCCACAGAAACAAAGGGAAATCACCCTGAAAGGTTTTAGAAATGGTGATTTTGGAGTTTTGGTGGCAACCAATGTTGCTGCACGTGGGTTAGACATCCCTGAGGTCGATCTGGTGGTACAAAGCTCTCCACCAAAGGTACGTGTGTTACACTTCTGTTCTGTTTCTTTTAAGTACCAAAACAAATTAGAAATTGTATCATTTGCTTTCATATGATTACTAAGGGTTATTCAAGATATAATAGCACACTGAAGAGGTGCTAGAGGTGCTTTGGGTAATTTTTAAAATGAACCTATTGTGTATGACCTCATTATATAAAAAGACAAGAAAAGGCATACATATACAGACCAGAGTTTCTTAACAGTTACCAAGAGTGGGAGGGAGGGAGAAAAGGGTTAAAGGGGGTTAATGGTGTTAAATAATCACGTTGGTTAAGGGTAGGATTGTACAGCTGAGTTTTGTGATTGCTGTCAGTAAGTTATACGCTTATAAAAAGGTAAATTGGCAAAAGTTATGTGATAGATTTGTTTACAACACCAACCAAAAAAAAAAAAAAAATGCCATCAATATCCCTGAGATGTAAATGTGGAAGTTGCTATGTTGGCGGATATCTTGTTGTGTATGTTTTCACCACGATAAAAGTGAAAAAAAAAAAAAAGTAGCTGCTGAGGCTGCTTATGTATAACCAAACACCTCATGGGATTTGGTTCCTTGCTTTGGAGGGTTAGGCTTGTGGTTTCATGGACATCCCAGTGGATTGACTGAATAACATTTAGTGCTTCTGTTCTGCCTCCTAGTTCGTTGCTGTGTGCCTGGGGTCTTAAAACCTTGCAAGTGGCCATCTAAGGCACAGCAGTTAGTCTCTGTCTGTGGGAGGAGAGTCAGGAGGAATAGGAGGAGGAAAATAGAATGGGTTCATTGCCTCCATGAACAAATGCCTCCTTGGCCTTGAGACCAGAACAACTGGATGGAACCTGCTACTATTACTGAACATTTTGATCAAAGAGTCCATGGAAGAATCTTGATCAAAAGGGGAAAAAGTGCAGAACGGAATCTCAAATTCTCATGGATTCTGCACTTTCTGGAGCCAGAGAGGGTTGATGAACTCCTAAAATTATTGCCCTGAGGTCATCTTTAAACCTTAAACCAAAAATAACCCCTGAAATCAACTTAAAACTGAAAAATAGTTTAGCTTAACTAGTAGAGAAGATCTGCCTAAAGCATTGTACATTTTTAAGAATGATCTATGTGGGATCAGATTGAGAATAGCAATTCGAAAGAGTAACTAAGAACCTTAGGGGGCAGTGAGTTTATGTTAATTAGGATGGAACAACTCAAAAGGAGAATTGAGAGTGGTTGCCCAACTTAAAGAATGTAGTCATTGTCATTAAAAATGTACTTATGGAAGCTACTGAATTGGTATGTGTTTTGCATATATATTTTCAACGCAACAAAATAAAATTAAGGGGGGGAAATGAACCTGTTGTGATAGCCTCCCCTCAAAACTGATAGTTGAATGGAAGTGTTGGAAGATTCACTTTTGGTTAGAGGGGAATCCTGAAAGGCCTCACAGATGTAATGCACATTTTGAGCTAGATCTTGAATATTGGGTAGGTCCAGCTTTGATGAGAAGGGAGTAGGATAACTAAATGTGTGAAAATCATTATAAAGGAGTCTGTTCCAATCACTTCAAGTGTGAAGACCCTGTAAAATCCCTCACAATTGATAAACCTCATTTAAAGGTGGTTTACATTGATGGAAAAATACCTGATCACTGTGAACTCAAGGAAGCCCAGGTGGTGCAATGGTGTTAAGCACTCAGTTGCTAACCCACCAGTGGTTCCATGAACAGAAAGACCTGGCAGTATGCTTCCATAAAGATTACAGCCCAGGAAACCCTATGAAGTAGTTCTGCTCTGTCATATAGGATCAATATGGGTCAAAATCAACTTGACAGCACCCAGCAACAACTGTGAATTCATTAATTTCTTATAAATGATATTGCAGGTTTCTTATTAGTAATGGTATCTGTATAATTTTTTGAAGCAGGTCCTTGAGTGTTGATATACATTGTTTATTGAACCTATAGACCTGCCCTGTCCAATAGGATAATCACTAGCCTCATGTACCTATTGAGCACTTCCAGTATGGCCTGAATTGAAATAGATGCTGAATATAAAATACATGCTGGGTTTTTGTTTTTTCACTTTTTTATTACACACACTGGATTTTGAAAACTTACTATTAAAAAACTAAAAAAAAAAACCAAACTCACTGCCATTGCGTTGATTCTGACTCATAGTGACCCCCCTTTGGGTTTCCAAGGTGGTATCAATACTGAAGTAGATTGCCCAGTCTTCCTTCCGTGGAGTGGCTGGTGGGTTTGAACCACCAACCTTCTGGTCAGCAGTCAAATGCCTTAGGTACGATGCTACCAGAGCTCCTTTTTCCTTATAAAGTGGTATCCAATTCTTCACTATAAAAAAGGAATGTACAATATCTCATTGATAATACTGAAATGTTGATACTTTTGGATGTAATTACATATATGGTTCTATTGGACTGCGCTGCTTTAAACACTGCTTTGGTGCAGTGGGTAAGGCATTTGGCTGCAAACCAGGAGGTTGGCTGTTCAAACTGGCCAGCTGCTCTGTGGGAGGAAGAAATAGCAATCTGCTTGCTTGAAAACCCTACGAGGGCTTGCTGTGAGTCAGAATTGACTCGATGGCTGTGGATTTGTTTGGTTTTTGATGCAGATTTGCCTATAGGATAGGGACTACTGTTCTAGAGAATCTTGCAAAATTGTTTATGCCAGTTCTTTAATTTAAATTGAGATACTAACACCCCACTCCAGGTATATAACAACCACATTTGTAGAATAGAAGACTCAGATCTTTGTGTCTTTGTTGTTCACCGTCCCTTGTGTGTTTTACTTCAATAGGATGTGGAGTCCTACATTCATCGTTCTGGGCGAACGGGTAGAGCTGGAAGGACAGGTGTTTGCATCTGTTTCTATCAGTACAAGGAAGAGTATCAGCTGGCACAAGTGGAGCAGAAAGCGGTAACTCTGTCTAAGCTTTCATTCAACAGATGTTGAGTCCTAAAGTCAAACTTTAATTTCTTTTTTCAGTTTCTATTAAACCTTAAATGATTTTTATTCCTAGTTTGTGGCAGTGACTGAAAGTGTGTTGTTAGTTGCATGTGGTCTTATACGTCGTCTCACAATATAAAGCACATTTTGAAATCACTTCACATTTGAAAGCAATAGTTGCTTTTTCATACTTACAATTAAGAGACATTTTGATGTTTGAAAAGCAAGTTGCAGACAGTGACAATGAGAACAAACCAAAAACATTTAAACAGAAGTTAGGTACTGTAGGAATTGCTCAAGATGGAAACATGTCCAAGAGTCACAGGAACCAACCCAGAACTGCTCCCAATGGCCAAAGCTACAATAATTTGATCAACAAAATAAATGACAATAAAAACCAAACTGTGGTTGTTATTTGCCATTGAGTTGGACCTGACTCATAGCGACCCATCTTTGGGTTTCCAAGGCAGTATCACTACAGAAGTAGATTGCCCCATCTTCCTTCCGAGGAGTGGCTGGTGGGTTTGAACCGCCAGCCTTCTGGTTAGCAAGTCAAGTACCTTAGGCACTACACCACCAGAGCTCCTAAAAATCAAACTAGTTGTCATCAAGTCAATTTTTACTGTTAGCAACCCTATTGGACAGAGTAAATTACCTCATAGGGTTTCCAAGGCTATAATCTTGACAGAAGCAGACTATCACATATTTCTCCCATGTAGTGTCTGCTAGATTCAAACTACCAACCTTTTGGTTAGCAACCAATCAGTTAACCACTATGCCCCCAGGGCTCCTTTAAATAATGTTGCATTATATTCTAACCCAAAGGATAAAGTAATATTTGTGACTTCATACTCATAAATGATTGATTGAATAAATAAATAAATAGGGATGAGGAGCCTAATATCCTTTTCAAATAATTTATGTACATTCTTTCCCCTCCAGCTGGAACTGAATCTCTCCACTGCCCCCCCTTTCACTGTGGCCTGTAGGGAGAGTAGAGTACGGAAAGGGGTAGGAGTGGGGATCACTTGACAGTGGGGAACCTGTGTCATACTTTTTGGGCCAGGTGATTGAAATTTACTTAATCAGTGAAAAACCCCTCAAGAATAGTGTTAAGCTGTTATTATTATTTCTTCCCCCAAACCCATAACCAGTGTTGGGTTACCTAATAAGCAAGGCAAGCATGGGCTTACTTGCACTTACTTACTAATTTCTAGTAATTCACATTTTTTCACCACGTCTAAGATTGTGCTTCTAGGTAAGGCTGGCTCTCTGTCTCTCCCAACCCTACAACACTTTACTACAGAATCAAAGCCTCTTTTGAAATTTATAATAACTAATGTGTGGAGTACCCAATTAGCAAGGTAAGCATGCTTACTTATTAATCTGTAGTGAACAATTTCAGAGGAGTTTCATCACATCTTACTTACCTTGCTTATTTGGAATCCCCCCTGCTTAAACTAAAACCATACTCACTGCCGTTGAGTCGGATCCAACTTGCAGCGACCCTTCCTTGGGTTACCTAGGCAGTATCACTACGGAAGTAGATTACCCCATCTTCCTTCCGAGGAGTGGCTGGTGAATTTCAACCACCAGCCTTCTGGTTAGCAGTCAAATGTCTCAGGTACTATGCTTTCCCTGCCCATAACCCTAGTCTAATCATAAGAAAAACCTCAGACAATCTCAAATTGAGGAGTATTCTACAGAATACCTGACCAGAACTTCTGAAAAGTCTGAAGGTTATGAAAAACAAGGAAAGACAAACTGTCACAGCCTAGAGGAGCCTGAAGATACTGACAGCTAAATGTAATAACCGTATACTGGATGCGATCCTAGAATGAAAAAAACATTAGTAGGAAAACTAGTGAAGTCCAAATAAAGTCAATTTTAGTTGATAGTAATGTTGCAGTGTTTCTTGTACCATAGTGACATAAAATGTCAGCAGTAGGAGAAGCTGAGTGGGGTATACAGGAACTCTCTGGGCTACCTTTGCAACTTTTCTGTAAAACTGAAAACTTTCTAAAATTAAAAGTTCAATAAATTCATTTGGAATATAGAAAAAGATGCAAGGGCTACTAATGTCAGTGGAAACAGTTCATGGTCACATTGTACATTAAATTGTGGTTCATTTTCTTGTAGGGAATTAAATTTAAACGAATAGGTGTACCTTCTGCAACAGAAATAATAAAAGCTTCCAGCAAAGATGCCATCAGGTATGTTCCCTACCCTGCTATAGTCTATTTTTAGGGCTTATTCTTTGTGCAGTATTGAGATTTGAACTTTTAAAGTTTTTATTTTTAACACTTTATAGCTTGCTTGTTATAAAAACATTAATATTTGCTAGAGTATAATTTCAAAAAGTGAAAAATTTCATTTCTTCTCATTCCTGCCTGATCCTGTTTGCCACAGGAAGCTACTATTAATAGTTTGGTGTGTCTTAGACATTTTAAGCAGCCAGTGTCTTTGATAGGTATAGGTGCTTTTCATCTGGAGATTGATTAGATTGGATCGCAGATTATATTTCAAGGCTTTATTAATACAGTCTCCCACCTGGTAAGAAGGAGGGTTGATTATGTCCTTAAATTCTCATTTCCTAGTTACATAGCAAACTTCTAACTGATGAGGTGAAGTTTACTAATACTGGTTTGCAGTGGAGGTGCTGCTGGCATTTGGGGCAAGACATTTATTGTGAGGCACTGTCTGTCCTACAGACCGAATAATGATTAAGCATCCCTGACTTCTGCCTGTGTGCAATGTCCTCCCCTGGGGTAGGAGAACATTGTGTTCTGATAGCCAGAAAGGTCCTAACACATTTCCATTTGCCTCCTAGTGGAGAGGTGCAGCCCTGGTGGAGAACCACTGAGTTTGCACATGATTTTTAGAGTGCATCCCACAACTACTATTATAGATTTGTGAAATGCTTATTAGAAAAAATAGGTAGAGTCCATGATCAAAGGAAATACTGAATATTGTCTTATCAGTTAATAGCTCTAGAAAGTCTTACAATTGAAAGAAACTTTAACTGTATTTTTCAAATTTATTTCTTTGAATATTTGTGCAGGCAGAGTTCCCAAAGACAACAGTTAAAGTAATTTGTGGTTAGAAGGTCAAAAAGTAGAAAAGAAATGAAGCTACTGGTGGTGTATTGGAGTTGTTCTCTACAGGGACAGCCTTGCCACGAGAGGCCACCTCGTCTAGCCTTGTTTGTACTAGTTGGCCTCTGTAACTTTGAGGTGTGACATTTATTATCACTGAGATCAGGACTCTCTAACAAAATGTATAGTCTCATAAAGGTCTGTATAAAGTTTTACCTGATTTTGGTGCCCTTTTGTTTTCCTTTATTTCAAGTGGAAATAGCTGTAGTATTCTCTGACTACATAAGTAGCACACAATCATATAAAAAATGCTGAACATTGTGAAAGGTGCACAGAGGGAAATTAACATAATATTATCACTAAAGGTAATTAATTATATTGGTATATATCCTCAAAGCCTATTCTGTGAATACAGTAAATATATGATGAATAATATATGATTAAAAAAAAGTTGTATCACGTATATGTGTAAGTATGGTGGTCAGTTGAATATAAACGAAGAAATGTGTTACCATATGTATGTGATTTCATACAGTACATCAAAATAAGGCAGGTGTTACATACATGAAAAATTTGGCTTGAAAATTATTGATTTCTCTTTTGTCATCCTTTTTCTTAACAAAAATACTCTCAATCAAACTGTAGGTTTTTGGATTCTGTGCCTCCCACTGCCGTTAGTCACTTCAAGCAGTCAGCTGAGAAACTGATTGAGGAGAAGGGAGCCGTGGAAGCCCTCGCGGCAGCACTGGCCCACATTTCAGGTGCCACGGCAGTAGACCAGCGCTCCTTGATCAGCTTGGATGTGGTAAGGTTCCATGTCCAGTTTCTGACAATTTATACAGTCAGCCCTCCATATCTGTGGGTTCAACCAACCACAGATCAGAAATATTCAGGAAAAACAAAAGCAATTAATTGGTCAAAGCAGTCCCTCAAAGGCTAAGAGGGAGTGTAAAGTGCTATGTACGTGGCATTAAGTATTACACGTAATCTAAAAATGATTGAAAATACATGGGAGGATGTTCATAGATTATGTGCAAATTACATGCCATTTTATGTAAGCAACTTGAGCATCTGCAGATTTTGGTATCCTCAGGGGATCCTGAACCCAGTGCCCCCGTGGATACTGAGGGATGACTGTAATGTGACATTTGAACAGGAATTTGAAAGGATTCTATTTAAATTTCCCAGTTATTTTAATTTTCTTATGAAAGTAGGAAGGTATTAAATGTATATGTTTCCATGTTAAAACACACACACACATACCTATACATTATACACATACATACATACATATATACACATACGTACGTGTGTGTGTATACACACATGTATATACACATACATAATATGTGATTCCATGGAGACCGAAAGCAGATTAGAGATTGCCAGGAAATAGATGGAGGAGGAATAAGGAGTGCTAATGAGTACATTGGGTTTCTTTTTGAGGTAATAAAAATGTTTTGGAATCAGTTATTGGTGATGATTGCACAACCTTGTGAATGTACGGAAATGACTAAATTGTACCCTTTAAAATGGTGAATTTTTTGGTATCTGAATTATGTCCAGTTTTTTAAAATCAGGTTGGATGTGGTAAGGTTCCATGTCCAATTTCTGACTATTTATACAGTCACACACAAAAATACTTATAATACCTAGAAAGCGTTAGGAGGTATATGCTTTTTTTGGTCTCTTTGTTAATTGAATTTTAATTGAGATCATTGTAAATTTGCATGTAATTATAAGAAACAGTAGAGAGATCCTTTCTGCCCATGGCAACATTTCACAAAACTGTAATAGAATATCACAACCATCTTGTTGACATTGGCACAATCCACCAGCCTTATTCAGAGTGCACCCCTCCCTTTTACTTGCATTCTCGTGTGTGTGTGTGTGTGTGTGTGTGTGTGTGTGTGTGTGTGAGAGAGAGAGAGAGAGAGAGAGAGAGTGAGAGAGAGAGAGGTAGAGAGAGCAGACGTGTATGCTTTTAGGAAGAACTTTTCTAGAAATTACTTAAAAACATGAGAGCAAGTGTTCATTAGTTAGATTTGCTCTTTTTTTCCATTTTACCTTCCTTGTTCCCCATCACTCCCGTAAGCATCAAAGAATATTTTTTTTGTATGGAACCGTTTTCCTGACTTTTTACAGTAGTGGTTTCACATAATATTTTTCTTTTGTAATTGACTAGTTTCACTTAGCATAATTTCCTCTGTGTTCCTCCATGTTACGGTACCTTTGCCTTTGAGACTTTAATTTTATGTTCTTTCTTCTATAAGGGCTTTGTGACCATGATCTTGAAGTGCTCGATTGAAATGTCAAACATTAGCTATGCTTGGAAAGAGCTTAAAGGGCAGCTGGGCGAAGATATTGATTCCAAAGTGAAGGGAATGGTCTTCCTCAAAGGAAAGCTGGTAAGGGTGGGGCCTCTGTCATGAGCTCATTTTGGTTTGGTAGCTTTTGTGGTAAGAAATTAAAGACATATTTCAGATACACTAAAACATCTTTAGCATAATAATACAGCAATAATGTTGTGATGTATGTCACAAAGTAGTGCCCATTTGTTATTACAAAGCATTGTATTTATTTCAAATTTTTAGTATAATAGACTTTATATGGGTTGGTTCATAACTGTGGGTTGTATGTAAGTCAGAAGTTCATAATCCTGGAACTCCTGTATTCTTCACTGGGCAATTTCATCCGTGACCCTCAGTTGCCATTTAGTCAGTGACAGCTATCTGTGTCTGCAGCTTGAACCATTCTGTAGGCTGTATCAGACTTGAAAATCCAACTGCTTCCCTGAGACCTCCACCTAGATGACTTACTAAACTAAAAACATCAAACATGTTGTGTCAAGTTGATTATAACTCATGGCGATCTCATGTTACAGATTAAAACTGTTCCATCCAGATTTTTTTTTTTTTTTTTTCTGTAACCTTTACGGAAATAGTTCACCAAGCCTTTCTTCTGCAGAGCCACTGGTTGGGTTCAAAAAGCCAACCTTTAGGTTAGCAGCGGATCCCACTTACGAGATGATTTGTTGAGTACCTTAAAAACAAACTTACCCAAACTTTAATTTAAAAATCTCATATTAGTTCTTCTGAGTTCTGTTCCAGTTAATGGCATAAAAGGTGAGCACAACACTTCTCAGACATTTGGTCTCATAGCCCCTTTATGTTCTTAGCAAATACTGAGGATTCCAAGAAGCTTTTGTTTATATGGGTGATATTGAAGGGAGCCCTGATGGTGCACTGGTTAAAGTCCTCAGCTGCTAACCAAAAGGTTGGCAATTCAAACCCACCAACCATTCTGTGGTAGAAAGATTTACAGCCTTGGAAATCCTATGGAGCAGTTCTGCTCTGTCCTATAGGATCATTTGCAAATCAGAATCGACTCAATGGCATTGAGTTTAGTTTCAGATAGCTATTGATATTTATCATATTAGAAATGTAAAACAAGAATACATAAGCCTATGTTCTGTCATCCATCCATCAGAGCAGTTATGGTATCACATTTCATGTGAATGTGAATGTCTAGGAAACTCCTCTGTATCCCTGTGACAAAACCCTTGAAAGGTCTCTTATTTCCAAGGGTCTCTGGGCCACACTTGCAGAACCACTGGCCTAGTGGACCAATTTCAAATTTTTCTTCGACTCTGCATATCTAGTCAGTAATCATAATTGGTCAGATCCACTTTCTTAAATGTCTTCTCTTATCAGCAGTTCTTTGCTACAGCCCTTACCACTTCCACATTGGTGTGTGCACTAGCCTTTGGTCTCAATCCCACCATCCTTTCATTCAGCTACCAGCATAATCCTTTAATAACTACACTTCTGACCATTTTTGTCCTTACACAACTCCTAGTAACTGTTAAGTCCCAACTCTTTAATATGGAAGATAATTCTTCATGACCTGACTCTTGCTCACCTTACCAGTTTCATCTCTGCCACCAATACCCTTTACTTCAGTCATATCACATACACCAGGCTTTTTCTCATCCTTACATATGCTGAACCTATTGTTTGTGCCATTTTGTCCTTCCACTGTGTGCTTTATGGCTCAGCTCGGCTTAAGTCTCCCTGTAAAGTACCTTCCTGTGCTTTCTTACTCTTAGTCTGAAGAACAATATGACCCACTCAAAGGCAAAAGCAGTTTCTAGTTTCTATCTCTAGTGAGGCCTGGTATTATACTCTATATACTTGTTAAGTATATGAATGACCAGAGACTTCCTATGAGTGCAAAATGCATCAGTATCTGATGCTCCCTGTGATTAATTAGGCAAATTGTTGGTGGAGGGGGTTTTCCTCACAAAATACTGCAGTTCGGTACTATCAAGAAAGAGAAGTGCTTGGCTCAGTGACAGGTATAGTTCGTGTTTGTGGAGACTGTGAAACAGGAGATCTTCCTTGATTTGTGAGGTGATGGTACTTTTTATCATCAAAGATAGTGCCCTATATTTAAATTTCCTTTCTTTTCTAATGTCACAAGAGGCCGAATTACAAAAAACTAAAAAATTAACAATATAAACCAAACCAAACTCACTGCCATCGAGCAGATTCCAACTCATAGCGACCCCCTTTGGGTTTCCGAGGCAGTAAGTCTTTACAGAAGTAGATTGCCCAGTCTTCCTTCCACATAGTGGCTTCTGGGTTTGAACTGCCAATCTTCTGGTTAGCAGTTTTTCTGCTTTTAGTTAGATTATCCTGAATGGCTGATACTCTCTTTCTGGTGGAAGGCAGTGTATCGTAATGAATAAACTGTAGGTTTTGGAGACCAGATTTTAAGTACCTGCTCCACTAACTAGGTGTGGGGTCTCAATTAAGTCGTTTAGCATCTCCAAAGCTATAAAATAAATGTACTGGAGGATAGCATGGTGTGATAGCCAAGTGATCTCTCATTACTTGGGAAGATTTAAATCGTTTTGAGGTTGGGTTTTTTTTTTTTTTTTTAAATATTCCGTAACTTCCTGCTATTGTACTGTTAGAAGCTGTAATGTAATGGCCTTGGTCTAAAGGTCATCTAAAATCAATATCTGGTGTTTTTGTACATAATACCTGGTCTTTCCTAGTTATCACTTAATGTACATTTTGAAAGTCAAAGGTTAACTTAACTTCCAGTTGGTTTGATTTCTAGGGTGTTTGTTTTGATGTCCCTACTGCAGCAGTAACAGAAATACAGGTAATTTTTTCTCCTTGAATTTTGAAATAAATGTATATGGATTGCAAAATGTTTATTATGGAAAATAAAGAATAATGGGATGGGAAACAATAGCTGTAGTCCTTCACTCAAAGACAATTGAAAATTAAATTTTGATACATTTTTCTTCTAGTCCTTCTAGCCTGATCTTTTTGTTTTTGAGCCTACCTGTTTTCCTTTCTTTTTTCTGTTTCTACCAAGTTGTTAAACACCTTTCTCGCTCCCATTCAAGTACTTTGTATATCTTACAAGGGTTTTTCAGACATTTTTTTTTTCT